ATATATATATATATATACCACTTGAGTTACCTGACAAGTGTTATTTATATTTGTCAATTCTATGGTAGTATCATCAATGGTAACAATAATATTGCCTACAATTCAAATTTTGTGATGATAGTACTACGAAGTCCAGTGTTGATAGTAGTATCATCCGTATCTCGAAATTTAATGGATTTAAATTTTATTTTATTATATTCTTATATTCTTTTGAGATCTATAAATATCTCACTTAGGCTTGATTGATAGCTCTCTCTTTGAGTATTATTTAAGTGCCTTCCTTCCTCTTAAGTTTAGTTGTGATACTAAGTTGTAAGAGGTGAGAAATCTCTCGTAAAACAATTAGTGTGGAGATTCTTTCCTAAATTTATAAAAAAATGAAAAGTGATAATAGTTGATTTTGCCCGTTGGAAAGAAAATTCGGTATTAAAAATCGATGAACTCGAGAAGAGAAATCAGAAATTGACATAAGTTGAGAAGACAAATTGCTACAAATTGGTTTATATTCGTTAGTATGACATTAATCCACCCTCTCTTTTAGTATCAGTAAGATATGTTCAATTTGATTGTTATAGTTATTAGTCATCCAATTTAAAATCTTTTGTGGGGGTTATAAGAGTATCCCCCATTTGTTTCTTCAAATTTAAAATTAAGATTTCATATTTGTTTCTTCAAATTTAGGAAATGAATGATATACAATTTATACAATGTCAATGCCGGATAATTATTTGGTGGTGCAGGCAACACGACATTGATTGTCATTGACATGAACAATTCCATGATAGAGTTAAATTCCAAACAATTAAATCGTCTCTAATGGCTCTTGGTCCCTGTGAATGAGAGCAGTTGGTGTACTAAATTGTCTCTTGACAAGAAGAAGAGGAGGATGTGAAGTGATGTTGGCAACAGCGACGAGGATGCCTCTCAAAGTCTTTCATAGGAACTGATCAAACGCAGGCAAAACAGGCAATGGCTACAATTCTAAAGAGGATGACGAATGAAAGGGAAGAAGGGTGATGAATTATATGTCCTCTAGTGGTTGTGCTATCAATGGCGATGGCGATTATCTACATATGAGAGCGAGAGAGGAAGGGGACCAATTCCTTGAGTGTGCTATCGATGGCGACTACCTAAATGAGAGATAGAGAGAGAGAAATGTGACTTATTCCATGTTCCCAATGGACTTCGTTATCATAGAAAGTTATTTTTCTCAAGATTTATCTATCTTATTCTATATCATCCTCAAAATAAAGGATTTGTTTCATGTAAATATATATATTATCTATATATATATATATATATATATATATATATATATTATTTATTGTTCATAAGTGGTGCTTGTTGCTTGTATACAACACAAAAATTAAGCTAATGAGTTGATGTGTGGTTTTTGGTTTGAAAGGTTCTACATGCAACACAACAATTGACTTGTTTGCCTCTACACTACCTAACAAGATGTCGACTAGTTTTGTTTGGCATCATCACAAGTTAGAAATTTGTTCCAATCAAGATCATGGTGACCTTGTCAAATGGTGTCTCAAAATAAGGTGTAGGACTTCTTCTTCTTCTTCTTCCTGCATTGCATATGCCTTTACAGTAATAGGTTAGGTTGGGCTGTGGATCAATTCAACATAATAATAATAACTTGTTCTTCCTTTTTGGTTGAGATAAAGTTCTAATTAGGTATGATTTCATTGGAGTGAATGATGTTGAACGGCTTTGGGATGATCAAAGCAAGAACATAAGTAGATAGTAGTAAAAAGATAAGGTTAATTACGATTTAGATCGATCATAAAGTTACAAATTTTCAACCTTTAATTTCTTGCCTATGCTAAAATATTAATTCTCCGAATCAAAAAGAAGTCAAGCAATTAAAGGTGGTTGACAACGAGATGCCAATTGGACAAGCAAATAGTGGTTGCAAATGCAGGCTATGGATAGATTTGGACAGTATAAACAAAAGTCTTTCCATATAAACACAAGCGAAAGCTTCAATATAGACTCGATCAATGGCGACACTTTTATGTTCTCACTTGAATGTGTGGATATCATCGAAGGCAGGCCAAGAAATTAATTGGGTATTCATTGAAATATGGAATCCATGTGGATGGTTGAGAATTGTTTTTTCCCATTTATTTATAGGAGAAAGTGAAGGGTGAGTGAGAAGTATGTGTTTGACTAATGAAGGTGCTAAGGTGGTGTATACTTGCATCCATTGCATCACATGAATGAATGGATATCCTTATTTTAGCGTTATTATACAAAGGCCTAAGTTTATTAGGCTTTATTGAACGTTTTGTAAAAATATCTAGCATACTATTGTTTAAAAATCCTATAAATATTTTTTTATGGTGATTTTACTAAATAATACTAGATGAGCAATGACTAAAGATAGAAAACAACATATTAACCTAAACTATGCAACAACAATATTATTAAGAAGCCATAATGTTTTAATTATTTGTGAAGGTTATATGGATTTTTTTCTTTTATTGAGCTTTATAAAAAAATAATATCTCCACTTTGATCAATAGTATTTTAATTACTACTTACAATGTTTAGTATAATCTTCTTCGGTCTCTCTTTTATCTCTTCTCGCATTAATAGTATTAATCATATCATCTCATTTGATTACAGTACTTATAAGTCTTCTTACAATATATCTATGTATTCTACCTTAGAAGATATACCTAATTATTTATAAATTAAAACATGTATGTTTAATAACTCTACAAGTTAGTATTCTCACTTAGTAATACAAGCTCTTTGTACATGTCAATTATTTTCTCGCTCAACATTCGGATTCATAACCTATAATTAAGTATTATTTTTTTATTTTATGAATAATATATTCATCAATCTTCTCATCATAGTGAACAATTGATTCGAGATAACTATTTTTTTTAAAAAAAATCACATTATAAGCTAATATATTATCACACGATTATTAATTCAACATCAACACCCAAAATCAATGTTAAAAATAATAATACTATTAGCCATTGATAAATAATGCATATTCATAACGTTACCCAAGACTAACATAACAATAATTTTTATTTATGATATTCCATATATAATTTGTGGAGACTCGCGGAGATATTTTTATACGCAAAATGTTACATCAAAGTCTAGCATTGCAACTATGAAATATTCCTAGATAGATTATACTTCAGGTTCATCATCTCATAATAATGTATTATTATTGAGTTTATTTTGATATTAATTATCAAGATTTAACTTGATAAATATTTCATAATAAATTTTTGTCATTTGATGTGCTAGAGATTCAATTTCATCTAATCTTCTACCAAACTACATTATTGAAAGTGCATCTAAGAAATACTTATATGATGCTTAGGTTAATAAGTAGAAATAATGGGTTCGAAAGATAAAAAATTAGCGTTAGAGGGACAGAAAACCTCAAGTGGCATACCCGTCGAGATTGTTTTATAGTTATTTTCAATAATTGACTATAGTAAATGAGTTTTTTATCCGTGCAACAATTACACATGTGTTATTCTAGTGTTTGTCAAACTAATTTAACATTGTAGTTTATTTATTGTGTTAAAACAGATAAATGGTTTGGTTGTCGTATTGAAATGATGATGAGACATTTGAATCGATGTCAAGAAGGCTGACGATAATCCAACACTCGATCGTCAACATTTTGGATTTTGCTATCAAATAATAGCTGTCTAACATCAGTTGGCTCAAAACATAAAGTGCTTCTAGTATTAGACCCTTTCTTTAAAATGTAGAAGACCATGCCATAGCATAGCCAGCTACTTAGTGAATGTATATTATAAACAATCCCCATATATTTTGCTTCGGTGAAGAAAGCTAAACGCGCATTCTTTGTTTTGTGACTTCACGCTACCCAATGTCTCTTTCAATTGCCTCCTTCTCCTCCTTTCCGCGGCGTCTCCGTTCGAAAACCTGCCAACTAAACTATTGATTTGGCCGGACCGGATGACATCGCATCGCGCCATTTGGCATTGAGCTCCTCGAATCGGATCGGATCGGATCGAATTCGAGTGGTGGCGGATCGGATGACGACGAGGCTAGCTTCATGTTGAGATACGAGATTCAGCGGACTTATAACGGGTTAGGACTTCTCGATCCGGATCCGAACTTATTAGGGATGGATTGGTCATTGCCAGGCTGATACTGTCCAGCTAAGACCGCACAGCTG